TCATAAACCGCTTTCCTTTAAGTTTTTCTTTAATTTTTGGAAATAAATAAAAATCACAAGGCGCGAGGTCGGGGCTATACGGCGGGTGACCCAGTAATTCAACGTTTGATGTCGCCAAATAGTCGATCGTTCGCTTGGCGGTGTGCGACGAGGCGTTGTCGTGGTGAAGGAGGATCCTACTGCGAGGTCGTTTCTCTCGAACTTTTTCCAAGACAAGTGGCAAACAATTGGTAGTGTACCATTCTGCAGAAACTGTTTTTTGATCCTCTAACACAATTGTTGCAAAATGACCTATCCTTCCAAAGAACGAGGCCACCATTTTTTTTCCCGCACTTCGATCTCTCTTCACTTTAGTTGGCAACTCCTCGAAAGGAAACACCCACTGAGCAGATTGTCTTTTGGTTTTAGGATCATAACAGTAAATCCAGCTTTCGTCACCTGTTAGTATGTCGAACACAGCATTTGAGTCACCTCCGTTAAATCTTTCAATCATTTTACGACACCAATCCACACGATGGAGTTTTTGAGCCTCAGTCAAATTATGAGGTATCCACCGGGCGCAAAGCTTCCTGACCGCTAAATGTTCGTGGAGGATTTTGTGCACTTGACTCATACCGATGCCTAAGCTTGTCCGAATCTGTTGATAGGTCACTCTTTTGTCAGTCTCTATCATACGCCGCACAACACAGATGTTATCTTCAGTCGTCGCCGTAGAAGGCCGTCCCTCACGTAAATCATCAGTGAGATTAGTGCGACCACGTTTAAACTCATTAAACCAGTTGTAAACAGTCGCACGAGATGGGGCTTCATCGTGAAAGGCCAATCGTAGTCTATCATAACTTTCTTGTTGACTTAAATGACATCGAAAGTCATAAAAAATCATTGCACGAAAATTTTCTCGTGTTAAATTCATGATGACGTGACACAGACAATTTTCAATTTGCCGCCAAATCGTAAAACAAATGACAAATGAATGAAATATATACTCAGTAATATTGGCAAAGAGTTATATTTTCAAATTTTAGAATTATTTTTTTATTATATTGTTTATAAGTGGCCAGTTCTAAGAACTTTCAGTTTGACCCTCGTATAGTATAAATGTATTTAACATTGAAGATTACTTCACAGACCAATCAAAATAATAATTAACTAATTTCATTGTTTAAATAAAAATATTTAATTTAATTATGACATAAGAAATTAATAAAAATTATTAATATTACTATAATTTACTAATACTATTATTCAAGCTTGTGGTTAGATATTAAATTAAAATATGTATAAAAAAAGAAAAATGCGTAAGATAATGAGTACCTAATAATAAACCATGCTCCTCAGGCCACCACTTATGTCATGTAGCAGACTTGGTGACAGTGTCGCGGAACCGCTGCAGGCTTCCACTTATCAAACACCATCAGGATTAAGTACCCAATTAATTATTTGAATATTTTTATTATATAAGCAGATAATTTTAACATGACTTTTAATTCATTATTAGATTAGTTTATTCTATGCAATTGTGATATATTAATGACGCTCGTCACGGACTATATGTGTGATATATCTATGTCCACACTACCCAGCTCCCGCTGCGCATCGACAAGATATTGGCGTAAGTGTCTTTTGAAACTGTAAATGAATTTGCAACTTCGAATTGGAGGAGGAATATTGTTCCATATCTTAGTCGCTGCGTAACGGAAGCTGCCACGAAATGATGCGGAGCTATACGTCTGTGTAGAAAAGCCTTCAAGGCATGCCAGGGTGTGTTCAATGCATTTTGAAAAACATTTATTTTTAAATGTAGGAAGACAAACAACACTGAGTACATAATAAGGATTTTATTAAATAGATATAATAGTTAAATACTTATTATACAAGTTAGGTATTTATTACTTAACAAGTCCACTTTTTATAATACCTTCCTCAAAGGGTATACACAATGTAACAATAAGAATGGTAAGTATAGAAAAGTCTGAAACTATAAGATATTGTATGTTAGTAGTAAGCAGTTAATACTTTGAAACACAATGCCTAAAATATATGAAATGCATTATCTTCATATCTTTTCAATTATTTTGTTGGTTTCATACAATATTAATTAACCATGTAAAACCTTTTTAGTTTGAGAATCTAAACTGGACATTTTGAAAAATAAAATACACATAATTTATACTAGATATTGATAGTCTAAGTTTTAAACTTTTAATGTTATTATTAAGTAAGAATTGCCTTCATTAAAAATAATCCTATATCTTTATACTTGCTAGGAAATTTTAAATATTACTATGTCAGTTTAAATATTTGATTTATAGTTTTTTGCACTTGTTAAGTAATGTTTGTTAACCATGCCATAATTGTTGTATAAAAATATTAGATGTTCATAATTTAGTCGCAAATCGGTTATTAGTGTTGTGTAGACAGAACCACAGATCATATTCTTCGTAAATATCATAATTTATTTGTGCCATAATCTAATCTTTAAATATTATCTGTGCTATTCTTTTAGAAATACACTGATTATGATTTGTTTGTATCTTTATAATAAAGAATGCTAGAAAATATATTGTGAACTAATATTGGTTATGTTTCTTTTTTTTAAGACTTCTTGTCTATGATTTAAGAGTATTGTAAGCTAACTAAAATATGTTTGTTTTTATTTTGTATTAAAATATAATAATTATGTATCATTTTATTGTATATTAATATTCATTTTCATATTTTTTAAAATGTTTTGTGTGATTAGAATTCACTGTAACAAAGTAAATTGTGCTCTAATTTGTGATTGGATAACCAATTAAAAGCCAATTTTAATTTATAATAGTATGTATTTAGTATTTAAATTTTGTTTAATGGCTTTCAAATATATCTAACATAATATAGTATTAATACTATTAAGCGAATACTTATTTAGATCAATTACTCTGGTGTACTTGTTGCAGTTGAGTAGACAATTTATTTATTTTTGTGATCGAGTAAGTTTATTTTAAATTATAAGTAGCATAATTTCTATTTTCAATATGTAATTAATACACGTAATATATCTAATTATTTGTAAAATTTTTGTGGAAACGAAGTAAAATGCTTTTTATTTTAGTAACCTCTTTGATTTCACCCACGATTATTAACTTTATTTAATATTGGTTTAGTAATTGATAATTATTTTTATTATAATTATTTATTGATTTTTCTAATAAGTCATAGCTCTTAATAAATCTCACACACTCAACAGCGTACATCGGCAGAATAGATTAAAATAGGTCTGCAGGTGTAATGATTTACACCAATTTTTATTATTAAAAAACCAAAAATGTTGAAAATTAACATTCCTTTATTGTCTAGGGTCTGGGAGTTCTGGGTATTATGGTACCTTTGTTGTCACAGATACTCCAAAATACGGGGTTCAGTACTCCAAAATACACATCTTACAATATGAGCCATGTATGTGATGTTGTTGAATGTTTATTTATCTATACTTAATATTATAAAAATTTTATTGTTTATTTTTTACATGCAATAGGCTCCGAAACCACTGGACCGATTATTATATTTGATCAATCTCAAACTACCAGGGACAAAGTGGTTTTTTAAGTATTTTTATTAAGATTACTGAACCGATTTTAAAAACTTTCACATACGGGTAGCTACACCATACGCAGTTGACATAGGCTACAGTTTACACAAGCGAAGTCGCGTGAAAATAGCTAGTTTATAGATATTCTAGTTTGAGATAAGAAATCTGGGATTGGTACTAGAATTAGAGCGAAGTATCGTGGTGGACTAACGATAACCGTCAAGCCTCTTTATGAAATCGACCAGGATAACGGATACGACGGCAGTGGTGCACAAACGCTCATACCTCGAAAACACTAATACGTGCTCTGCTAATACTGTCTTGAAGTAATGAAATTCAGAATCTGAGTTATTACTGCTCAAAGTTAAACAGGTCTGCAGGCTTACATATTTGTTTTCGATCAATAATGATTAAGATTCTGGATATCTATTTATTAGTATTTCGTCACTAAATATGAGACTAAAATATTCGATTGGATTAGTCAGAATGATAAAATACTTTGTGGTTACTAAGATCTACGAAATATCAACATGTGTCAATAGTTTCAACGTTTTATTTCATTCTAAAATGACCTAAGGTTTTAAAAAATGGTCTTTCTAACAGCTATTGAGTAAACATACAGTGGCGCTGCTGGACTGACGTTAGCCCAACATCATCACAATGTTTCTTATTTGCCACAACATAATTTTATCATTGAATAGGTACGTTATTCTCCTATAAACGGTTTTCTTTATTGTCTATATACATTTTTTTTAATTTTGGTTGAATTAAATTTTCAAAATAGTTTTGTTTGACTAAATTAGACTTTTTTGGGCATATTCTAATTTAGTCAAACTTAATTTTATATAGAAAACTTCAGTAACCAAGCCCATTGATTCAATGAGCTAGTTAATTTAAGATGATAGATAGTGTATCAATATTTCTACAATAAAAAAATGTTCCTCTATTACTAATTCTTTCATCCATTGGAAGTTACATCATACGTGGTTGACTACAGCTATAATTTGGTGAAATCGCAGAAAAGTAGATAGTTTCTGAACATTTCTACAAATTATGCTGACCAAATTATTCCTCCTTTGCTAATAACAAAATATCTCCCTATAATCGAGGAACATTTAACTATCTAGTAACACTGATGATTTATTTGTTGTCCCTTACGGTGGCACGCCTAATAGCCCTCTATAAGTACTTACTCTAAGGTTGTTTGTATATGGCATTCTACTCTTTGCCACACACAACCAATGAAATTGACATGTGTCAAATTCAAATGGTTCTGGCCAAAGATTACAAAGGCCATAATTACCAGTATTATATATAATCTATGGCTATAATTAATTAAAAATTCCCTCTAGGTTTTATATCGTAAGTTATGTAGTATGTGAAGTTTTGACCCAACTACAAAGGCAAACTAGGTTTTAAAAATTAATACTGGTCGACATCTTGACGACTTATCTTAGTAAGACTCAAATTTCTCAAATGTATGAGATTGCGGTTTAAAAAATGATCTATTAATGCGTTGCATGCTGTTCCCAGCCTGCTTAATATCATCATATTACTGTAAAAATGGAGAATTATTTTAAAGGTAAGAATGTAGAAGAGGAATTGGAACGGGAGAGAATACCGTTTAAAGACTTACCCGATAATTTCTTATGGATGCAGGTATGAAATCCTAGATACCATTTTATATATTTTTTTTTTATCAATAGTTAATATTTCATCATGTTTTTTACAGGTGAAAGGAGGAAGTAAAATGAATAATTTGTTATCACATGCCACAGGAATTTTAGAAGATAAAGCAGCATCTGCAGTAGTTTGGAGCGGGACAGGAGTTGCTATACCAAAGGCAATTTCATGTGCTGAAATTTTAAAAAGACAATTTTCAATCCAACATCAAGTTACAAAACTTACACATAAGAGGTAAACAATAGTATTTGTTAAATTTACAGTAATCAAGAAGATAAAATAATTTTTCTGTTTTCAGAGTTGAGGAATATTGGGAACCAAAATTAGATGGACTTGAAACTATTGTTGTCAAAAGACAAATTCCAGTCATACACATTTTACTTTCAATAGATATCATACCTGATACCAAACAATTGGGGTTAGTAAATGTTGATTGTTTTATTTAATGTTATGAACTTAAAGCAGGTAAATCATAGGATCCAAATGCTCACCAGTTCTTTGCAGCAAATCTGCTTGAAATTGTCAGTAAAGCACTTATTTCAAGTATGTACTTGCAATTAATATCAAATTTATAATTATTGACAAGCCAAAGATTTAATAATTGTAAGATTTAAATTGAAATTTTTCCTCACACTGAACAATTGAATGAGTTTTGAAGCATCTTGTTAATTACAGCTTAATTAGTAATCATAAATAAATAAATAGTTAGCATGCAATCGCAGTAACTCATGAGGAATTGACATATAAAAAAAACCTGGAAGGGTCATGGACATTTTCAAATAATAATAAAGTAAGACCATGATTTTGAAAAATTACTTTTATTGTTTATGAATTCGAACAATTGAGAGAAAAGGCTTTTGTTGACTAATAATTATTGCTTACTAATAACATTTATTATCTTTCTAGATATCAGTCTCTCCAAGGAAAGAAATTTTGGCAAGAGGCTCACGTTAACAATGCCAAACTTAATTCTCATTATAAATCTAAGAAGCCTTTCAAGCTTAAGCAAGGAACAGTGAATAGTTAAGATGTTCTATTTATGGTCTGTTTTTTTTACAATATATCTATAATATAAATAATCATAATAAAGCATGAGAAATGATTTTAAGTAGTTTATTTTATTCAAATATGAATTCCATCATGTTTATGAAAAATACAAATAAATAGATGTCAGAATCAATAAAATGTCACTGCGAAAAGAAATAACGAATTAGATTTTTTTCCAAATTTAACTTGTTTAAATCTAACATGATTGCTGCTATAACAGATAAGTAATTGTTATCATGATGATAGAATAACTAAGTGTAATCTTATAAAACATCTCTCATGTATTTCCTCCTGGGTAACTGTGCATACCGTGGCAGCTTGGAATTGAGGCAACACTTATTTGCATGCTATATTATTATTGTAATAATGTTATTATCAATGTATTCTCTTGTAAGCTGTCCTTAAATAAATAAATAAATACAATACTTTTCATAATTGATTATGAAGTTATTATCTTTTTTATATTCTTTTAAGCAATTATTTAAATTAAAATTCAGTTATGAGGAGATCATATAAGTTTTAATACAGTTCAGTAATAAGTAAATGCTTTTATATTCTTAAACATACCAGTAAACTATGCATTAATCAATAACAATAATTTAAACTAATAAATTTAATTCCCTTATGCTTCAGATTCTCCTACTGGTTGTGATATAGGTATCTCATCGTCAAGTTTAGGTAATATTAAAATTTCTTTAGGAATTATAGAATATTTTGTCACAAAATATGTAAACCTCTTGCATAAATGAGTTTCTTTTTCAAATGCATCAAATATAGATCGGTGATGGAAGTATGCATGGGAGAATATTCGGTATACTCTCCTACATACAGAGCCCAATTTAGTTACAGAAGATTCCTTTATATTAACCCTGAAACAAACAAGTCACACTTGATTGATGTATACTAAAACTACAAATGATAAAAAGAATTCTCATAATAAGGTGTTGCAGAAAGAAAATCAAATAGATGAATTGCATTTTATTTACCTGCTTGGAAAGTATTTATTACTGTTGAGCAAACAAGCAGCACCATCTAGTGTATGCCTGGTGTAGTCAATTGCTGGACATTCTTTGGGCGTTTTGTGGGCAGCACACAAAAATATCCACTGCTCTGTAGCTGTCATCTGAGTACAAGTTTCAGGTTTGCACTCGGTTTGCAGCCTCACAGCCAACCCATTAAGTTCCATACAGAACTGCCTAAACGTAAAAAATATATAAGACCCAGTGGTAGTTTATCAAGTCAACTGAAATGTAAATTTTTGAAATGACACCAATACCTCAAATGTTCATATTTCCATACTCCCTCTTCTTGAGCCTCAGGTTTCTTCAGAATGGCTTCCAAATTCGACGGATCGCGTCGAATAGTTTGTTGTATATATTGAGGTACTGCCAAGATGCTATCCATTTCTTCAAAAGGCTCATCTGGCCATCGACAGAAATCCTAGAAAAATATATTGATTTACTCAATGTTTTGTTTAAACCGAGATCCTGGTGACCATCCCTTACCTTGGCCTTAGACCCAGGACGATTACGTCTTAAAACTCCGTCAGTCATAATCACAATATTGAATTTTAATAAACAAAAAACCGAACAGTTTATTCCATCAAAAACTAATTTTAGGGCTGCAACGATCTATCGACAAACTGACATATATCGACCCATAAAATATCGATGTCGGAAAACGAGCGATAGAAATCGAAAAATACCAACATACCTATCTCTTAGAAAAAAATTAAAAACACATGGTGTCAAGGCTAGTTTACACGTAATTAAATAATAAGTAGATTTGAATTTAAGGTGATAAAGCACGTGTAAACAAACAAATAAGTAAAAATTTTAGTAAGTCCTTATAAGCCTAATGAGGAAGTATTTAAAAAATTAAGAAACTACAAAATTTTTTATTACTAGATAGCAGCAGCAATTGTTGGATCTAAACGTCAATTCATGACGTTAAACCAAAGAGAATAGAATTGTCAGTGTTGTTATGGATCTAGCGACATCTAGTTTAATTTCGGAAACTAATGTTTTTTTAAAATTCTTTCTCATTCATGACGTTAAACCAAAGAGAATACAATGAGGAAGTATTTAACTCTCTAGGTATTTAATACTTAATATATTTCAATAAAACTGATTTCGTACTCATAGCAGGATAGATTAGGTACTCCCAGCTGAAAAGCGAGTCAAGTGAGATATCAAGTACAGAGGCTATTTGTCCCTGTCTTATAGGGCGACAATAACATTTTCATTATGTGAGACTTGTCATGTAATACTTTGTAGGTGGTTAACAGAAATTAAAATTACACTTATTGTTTTCGTGCGACTTTTTAGAACAAATAAATACAAGGTACAATATTTGTTATTATCGCTATCGGAGTCACCAGTTACTTCATTGGTCCTCCCTTACATTCTCACTATATGTAATTTTTTTTATCTTTGAATTCCGATTGACATTTCCCCAATCATCAAACTCAGTGTTGACGTTACGGAGTCCATCAAGGTGAGCAGAGGTCGAACTAAGGGCAAAGTCATAAGGGTAAGGGTCATAACACTGCAGAAAAATTCGTTTATTTTATAAAATGCCTAGCAGCTATTTATTAGAAAAATATCATGCATGTTACTTCATCATGCATTTACTTACTTCTCTCTAATGAAAAAGCTGTCAATTACCTCAAAAAATTGTTGGGTGATCTATACTCCATTCATTATAGCATTAGACAGAAGTTAAATAAGGTTATTTTTATGGTATACTTTTGACAAAATATCAACAATCATGTAACTCTTCAGACTGACGGCTAATTAACTACATATCCACTTCAATACTAGCTACTATGCTTAATCGTTGTCGTCTAAGCTGTCTATTAAACAAATTTATGAGTATTTGACTAAATTAAAAGATTTAATAAATATTACAATAAAAAGTGTTCATCTTAAAGAACCTAAAGTAGCAGGTTTGGATAGTTTCGGCACGATTCTCATATCACTATAACTCTACCAAATTTTAAACGTTGCCTAATCCCTTCAAATGGCAGTACAGCTTTTTAATTTTGTCAGATTATCATGTATTCATAACAGTTAAAATACGTAATCTGGGATTGTCATTAATTGTGAATGCTTTTACTGCCTTTCTAGTTGTTTTTCGTGATTGAGTTGTTATTGTTGTTTTGTTTTAGTTCTTACCTTTTTGTGTTAAGTTTGGCTAAATATGAACGATTCCGATTTTGGCCTGAGTGGTCTACAACCCTATGACATTTTAGAAAGTTTTTCCAATGTCTTAATCAATAGTCTGATAACTGAACATATGTTATAAATGTAATAATAACAACGTTACGTTTCTTTCCTGGGCATTGATATAACTAAAATCTATTCTAATTATATACACTTACAATCAGAATTTATCAAAACTACAGATAGATAGTTTTGGGTCCATGTTGGCTCGGGGGTAAAAGATGAATTTAGAAAATGCTTTAGAAAATGCTAATGCCTCATCGCAACCCCGAGAAAATAGAAAATTGCCCAACTCTTTCAGATTACCTAACTTTCAAAGTTTCAACAAAACTATTATATATATTTTTAAATTTATCTTGAAAATAAAGTGTTCTGCACTGCTGCTTCTGTGACCCTCTTTTTTTTAATGTTATAATGAATAGAGTATAGTATTTATTGTTATAACGGCTATATAAATACATGAACTGTGAAATTTTCAACTGTCTAATTTTCACGGTTCAGCCTGGTGACAGACAAACAGACAGCAAAGGGGTACATAACTCAAAAAATAAGTAATAGTAAATATTATTCCATATTTTTTTTTTAAATTGGAAGTCGAAAAATATTAAATATCTATATAAAAAACCAATAGCGAGTAGAAGTCGTGCTTAAATGATTCTGTACTGGCAAACGAGCAAAAAAATTCACGTTCTCACATTCTTTCATTTATTTATTTTTTTGTTTTATTTTTAATTTTTTGTATTTATTGTTATAGCGGCAACAGAGATACATCATCTGTGAAAATTTAATTGTCTATGTATCACGTTTCATGAGATATAAACTGGTTGGAAATTTTATTATCATGGCAAGATGAAAGAACACAGACACAGCTCAGATTAGCTTCGATATAAAAAACAATTAAAAGTATACTTTGACTGATAGTAATAAGGTTTATTTTTACAATCACAAATTTTCGAAGTTATAAATCCTGTCTATCAAATGTCTACCTAAGATTTGGCTCTATGGTTAGTTCCTTCACCTGTCGCACGGACGAAACTACTACGAGGGGTATGACACTTAGAACATTGAAAAATTCTTTAAAGAAGGCAGAGTCATCTTGCGCCCTGATCCCGAAATGTCACAATTTCTCAAAATGTCACTAGATGTCGCTACTACTCACTGGATATTTTCTACAGATAATAAATTAAAAATAAATTATTTTTCATTATTATTATTTGTACATTTTCTAGAATATTTTTTTAAAGCAAAATTTAAAATACATTAGATTCTTTTTATATAAGAAATATTTGAAAAATAACAGATAGAGTCTGGCAAGCGAAACGTGTCACAAGAAAAGGGCGGCAATTTCAAAAATTCTTAAGCAGTAAACACTGAATGTAGTACTGCAAAATAATTTTGATACTTTTATTAATTATATTTAATCTTAACATTTAGATATCAATTAAAATTATTTGTTTTGGAACATTTGACTAAAGCGTGACTGTTCTTAATTGTACAGTTAACAGCATATCAGTAGGCCTATTCACTAACTCAACTGACAACCAAGAATCGTCATCACCGTAAAAAATAGACACTTTGATTGTGTCAAAATCACTATTTCGTATTCTCTATCAATGATGAGCAATTTCGAAATGTCAATATCGGCATTCTCCACTGGACTCCATTTTGACACTTGATTTCGTATCGATAAACTGTATTAAAGTAACATTGTTGCAAAGCATATTTGAAGTCGTCGCATAGTACCTCTTAAGCCATTTGTTGTTAAATTAAAGCGAAAAAAAATACGTATCCAATATTTTTCTATTATCTGACTGACGGACTAAATCGAATCTTTTTTTTAACCCATTCGTTATACCTATTGGCTAACAGCACTTATAATATTAAAAATTCATATTTGTCATTAATTAAAAGGGTGTTTTTTGCAACGACTTCTTTGTTTTTTTGTAATGAATATGGGCGACTCTGGCCACATTTTTTTAATAAATGTGATGTTAGCCAATTTTGATTTCTGGCCCTTATATTTATAATGTGTTCATAACACATACATGTCTCCTAAGGGATTTTCATCACAACCTTTTGCTCTGATCCAGAACCACTATCTATCAAATTAAATTAGTCAATATAAACACCAGATTACAATAAAAAAAACATTTATTTTTGTTACAATTAAGTGCCATGGATAAATTACATAATACAGGTGTCACAAAATCATCATGTTAATCACAATAGAAAATTTAAGATAAGATTTTGACTATGAATCAGACTAAAAATACTTTAGTCTGATTCATAGTCAAAATCTGTTTCTAAATATTCTACACCTGATAACAATGACAAGGAATCATCAGAGTCACTCTCTTCACTACTGTCTGCACCAACAGATATAATAAATTTTTCAAGTTCGTTTTCAACAATGCCATCTTTTAATTTGTAATCATTTTCGACATTTAAAACATGATCAGTGTATTTCTTCCAGTCACTAGGGGTAATTAAGTTAAAACACTCTATTATTAAGTTTTCCATTTCCTTTCCTGGTATTCCAATGTTTCTGCTTGCAATTTTTCTTTTTGCTTGACTCCAAACCATCTCTATTGGGTTTAAGTCACAATGATACGGTGGCAGCAATAAAAGTTCATGATTATGTTCTTTTAAAATCTCTTCAGCTTCATATACAGGCAATGTTTTCTTATCATTAACCAAACACATTAACTCTGCCTTTGTCTGATATTCCTCAAAATGTATTCCATTATTTACAAGCCATTTACGGATATCTGCTTTGGTATTAGACATTATAGGCGGTTTATTGATTTGTTTTATATGGTAGCTGGCATTATCCATAACAATTACACTGGGCTTACTTAAATTTGGTATTAATTTTTCTCTGACCCATTTCATAAAGTTCGATGAGTTCATATCATCATGATAATCAGCAGATTTGGATTTACTACTGAACACTAATAATGCACCAGGCACAAAACCTTCCTCAGATCCAGCATGCACAACAATATGCCGTTTTCCAGAGGATATCTTTGTAGTGACACCAGTTGTTGAAGGTCCTTGCCAAGACTTTTTAACTTTATAATTCTGATGTACATAAGTTTCATCAAGGTACACAATTTGCTTTCCTTCGTTTCGTTTTATATTTATTTCTCTCAAATACTTGTGCCTCCATGCAGAAATCTGGTATTTTTCTATAAGCATAGAACGTTCATTTTCATTGCTTTTAAAAGAAAATCCATTCTTAAGCATAATTTTTCGTAAAGTCTCACGGCTACCACTGAATCCTATTGCATCTTTTAATTCATTGTGAAGGCTTCTTAATGTTGGAACAATTTTTTTCACACAGTAAAATTCATTTACTTTATTCCGAATTGCACTTAAATCAAAATTATCTAAAGCAGACACTGTTGGTTGATGAGGTCGTTTTTTCCCAGGAGTGTCCCATTTTCCTTTATTAATTAATGCTTCATTTTTTATCCTTCTTAGTGTCCTTATACTTACATCTATAAAAGATTAAACACTTTGAAACAAAGATATGTTAAATGTATTTAAAAGCAAATAATGATAGACACATACATCAAAATAATTTAAATACCTATTCAACTATGAATGCAATTTATGTTTAATTTAGTTAAGTTTATGTGCATATTTAGCATGTATAACAATTACATGGTTTGATTAGTTTCATGAATTCTGTGAATTTCCTTGTTAAACAAAACATTCTTATGACATCATTGGATGTCAACAATAAAAACCAATACATCATAAAAAACCTATGTAAATATTATAGGAATACTATCAATCTATCTTAAATCAAAACAAGAAAAGAGACCTGTCATTGAAGAAATTTTTTGTAAGTACTGCGTTTCCGAATTCAGCATTTCTTGTTTTTCTAAAGTTTTTATTGCATTTATCTCCTCCATTATTGGTTGAATATCACCATCACAGTTATCTGAAATAGAGCAATATTTTATAAAAAATATCTGTTTAGTTAATTACAGAAAATTAAAACGAAAGTATCAAAATTATAATACAAAACTAACCTAAAAAAGATACAACTTTATCTAATCGTTGTAATTTCTCCATGAAATTTTTATTTAATTCAGTTTTCACTTCAGTAAACTTGTCAATCATGATGGAAAGAAGTTTCCTCGATGAACTTTTTATCGGCTTCGACATAATTTTTAACCAAAAACACAAGTTCAAATTCGCAAAAACAACAAAATTCAATATTCTTGAATTGTCTAACGTAGTGTCAAACTGACAGTTCTATGTTGTTGCCATATGAAAACGGAAAAATAGGTGGTGTCACGTTTCGCTTGCCAAACTCTATGAACACACGCTATCAAAGATCTCAAAACAAAATGGCGTCACAAAATTGTTTGTATTCATCGCTTGCGTACACGCTTGTCGGGTTTTAATCAATTTTGTGTGTTTTCGTTTCCTAAACTGCGAACAGACGTTGAGTTGAGTCTTATTCTCCTCCGTCCTAAAAGTTAGTGAAACCGTGATTGCGATACAGACGCTAATATTTAAGTGTTATCAAAATTAACAACAATATGCCGGGCCAAAGTTGTGTGATTTGTGGTCGAGGATATGGGACAGGTCTGTTTTCATAAAAAATTGTTTATTTGTTCTTTAAGCTTATCATCAATATCAGTCTATTAATGTCCCCACTCCTGTGGTTTCCCTATGGAATGAGGTCATAACTTGCGTTGCCAGGTGTCCAAATAAAGCCGGTCTTATTTAGGGTATTTGAATGCATGCATTAAAAACATAATGAATTATATAAGGCATGTATATGCCATAAGTAAATTGCGATTTCTTTTTTTTTCTCTATTATATAAGTATAAAACCAAACTGGATGGTCTATCCAGATATTAGGTTAGATGACCCGGCAACCTTAGTGCAGATTGATGGGTTTTAATAACCGCAGATGCAGCCTAAACTAACTGCTTAATGTACCTTCCGAAACACAGCTCCTCAAGCTAATCACTACTAAAACTTTAACAAACTCAACAACGGTCATTTTAGTGAATATTCCTCTTTATTATTTTACAGGTACAATAGTACACATTTTCCCAAATCCAACCAAATTTCCTGAACGTTTTCGAGAATGGGTTCATATTGTAGGAGGAAATCTTGAAACTCCAGCTGACTATGAATATTACAAAAAGAAGAGAATATGTGATATTCACTTCAAAGATAAACATAAAACCAGCTGTCATCGTTTAAGTGTATATTGCAGTTCCCTGCCTTTATTTACCTGGTAAGTCGCAACATGTTTCATTATATTGTTCACATTATATAGTTGAAATCCAACTGAATACAATATCTTTCAAATGTAGTACGACAAATATATTTTTTATTTATTCCATTTATTACAAGCATTAACTATACTTATATTAACTATACTAACTATATTAACTATACTTATAATATATATTTTTTAAATCAGTCCAGTCCTTTCGGAACCTATTTGTTGCAAGCAAACAACCAATCAAATCTTTCTTCTTTATAATATTAGTAAAGATGAAAATAAATATGAGATTGTTTCGTTTTAATTACAGGTTCATCAAATACTCAGGAAAAATCAGTGGATAGTCCAACTATTGCTGATGTTTCGATGCCTATTTCTAATCAATCAGGTTTGTTATCAATAAAATACATGTAAACATGAAAAATATGATAGTGCATCATCTTTAATTAAGGATTCTGTTATTTGATATTTGCATTCTATTTTGGTTTTGTCAATATTATATGTATGACTTGGTATTTCTTAAATAACCATTGATTATTGTATTTCAGAAGAACCAATTGCTCTTTGTTATATTAGTCATTCTCAAACTGACAAACAACCAATTCTGGCTATCAACTTGTTTACTGCTCCTAGTACATCAGGTATGTTGACTTATTATTATAAATAGGAAAGATTAATTTATTTGTTTGTAATCAAAAAAAGGAAGAACCAACCCGATTTAAAATTATATCTTGTAATATAAAGACATCAAATATCCATTCAAACTCATCTTACATTGATTTCAACTGTACTGAAATGCAATTTTTTTTTTCAGGCCACCATACATCATTGTCATCATTAGTGTTAATGGAACACAACTACACTGCTTTAAGACCTGAGCTAAAAAAAACATTCAAAGGTAATTATCGAAAATTATTATATTTTTAATCTTTTTGATGACCTATGTGGCGGGATGGCTAGCACACCATTTAGAAACATTGCTACTTCATCAAACAAACTTTTGTAGATTTACTCAGTTCTAGACATTAGTGTTACCTCCATTGTTCGCAATAGCAATTTAGTGAGTTTTTATGAAAACTGATGGAGAAAATAAAGAAAGAATGTAAATAGTATCTTTAAAAGTATTAGGGACTGTTTTAATAGCACGGATTTTATTTCACACTGAAATAACACTATAATTAATTAATTAATATTATTTTTTGTAGGTGTCTCGAAAGGTGGCGTAGTTAAGGCATATCAATTGAAAGCTAAGATGCTTCAATCGGAAGTACGTCGCCTTCGAAAAAAATCTGCCACACTGAGGCAACGACTAGCTGAGGCACAGCGGTTATCAGATGATGCAGCATTTCAGCATCTAACGAAAGATATGAAAAAGCCTGCAAAGTTATTTATTAAAATGCAAAAAGAAATAAAGAAGTCACCAAAAGGGAGACGTTTTTCGATAGACAAAAAAATTTTATGTTTATCGCTTTTTAAAAAGAGCCCCAAATGCTACCGAATGTTAGCAAAATATTTTACCTTGCCATCCAGTAGAGCAATGACTCGCTTATTGGGCGAAATAAAAGTTGGTGAAGGCATAAATAATATAATATTTGATAAAATTAAGCATGGGTTACGCGATCAAGACATATCCCAACGTCTGTGTACATTAATATTTGACGAGATGTCAATAACGCCCCAAATTTTTTACAACGCTGCTAGTGATCAATTTACTGGATTCGCTTATAATAAAAAATCGGCGTTTGCTGATCACGTCCTGGTATTTATGGTGAAAGGAATTAGACGACATTTTAAACAGCCTGTAGCATATTACTTTACCAATGGACTTCAAAAACACGAGTTAAAAGACTTGATTGGAACTGTAACAGAAGAGGTTCTGAAGACTGGCCTAATTGTTGTTGCTACAGTTTGTGATCAAAGTGCAGTCAATGTTGGAGCGATTGCAGATTTGGTGCAGATAAGTAAAGCAAAATGTTTGCGCAAAGGGAAAGAATGTCAGGAAGATTTCTTTGAGGTAAAAGGATACAAAATAATTCCTTTATACGATCCACCTCATTTAATAAAGGGAATCCGGAACAATTTACTCAATAAAGATTTAATTTATGAAGTTGATGGTAAAAAAAATATTGTTAAATGGGAATACTTCCAAATGGTATATGAGGCTGACAAAGCCCAAGGAGAGTTGAGACTTCTTAACAAATTAAATGAAGAGCACATCAACAAAGAAAAAATAAATAAAATGCGTGTCAAATTGGCAACTCAATTATTTAGCCATAGTGTTGCTGTTGTAACAAAGCATTTGTCAGCGAGAGGCGAGTTACCTATGGAATGCTGCCAGCTAATTGATATTACTTTATTAGTAGATAAAATTTTCGACTCATTTAACAGTAGTACCCTGGATGTACCTAACGGTAAAGTGTTTAAAGGGCCTGTGAAATTTAACTCTCCTCACCATGAGTTATGGCAAAAAGCAAAGAAAATTTTAAAAACTGTTAGATTTGTTAAACCGTGTAAGAATCAAAATAATTATCAATTGACTGAACATATAGTCCCATCTGTCAAAAATCTTATTAAAACAATTGAAGGTATGGAGTCACTTTGGAAAATGTTAAGTAGAAAATATAAAATGGATGCTGTTCTCACAAGAAACTTCAATCAAGACCCTGTAGAAAATTTCTTCGGGAGTATCAGGAGTTATGGGGCAAGAAATATTGCCCCAAATACAGTTTGTTTTGAGGGTGCCTTCAAAGCGTTAATGGTGACAAACATGAATTCTCCTCACTCACGACGAGCCAATTGTGAGGAGGATTCAAATGAATGCCTACAAAACTTAGACTTCTTTTTTAAAGAAAAAAATATTATTACTCCTGAAGCTCCTGAAGAATTTCAAGTTAATTTTGAAAAAGAAATTTGCTTAGAGCAACATATCGATGATGCTGGTCAAAATAATTATGTTTGTGGCTGGGTAATAAAAAAATGCTTGCAAAATGTAACAAAAAATTGTAAGAATTGCAGACTAACTTTGTTAGAAAATAATGTAAATGAAAATAATGATTTCATAAGAATTAAAGAGTATAATAATAAGAAGTGGCTCTGTTACCCCAGTAAACCATTAGAAAACTATTTTAAGGCAATTCACAATGTAACAGTTTCTGTATTAAAAAAAGATGTGCCAAAAAAACATGTTAAACAGTCGATCTTGTTATATCAAGATTTACTGTTAAATTGCCCTTTTGATTGTATGGCCCATAAAAATGAGTTGAAGGAATATTTTCTAAATACATCAATAAACGTCATTTTGTACAGTTGGACTAGATCAGTCAATAGAATTTTAGCAGGTAAATTAACATATCATGGTGAAGACGAAGTTAAACAATCTGCCCAAAATTATTATAATAAATTTAAACATTTGAAAAATAGAAAATGATGTATACCTGTAAGGTATCTTTTAATAAGACTCGACAATTTAGTAAACATAGCAATTAAATATATCGGTTTAAAGGAAGTTACAAAAATAGCAATTAGAATTCATAATAATTCTCTTTCCTAGGAAATTAAACAAAGTGCGTAAGTCATACTTGTTTGTAAATTGTCGGATTCTATTGAAAGATACTTTAACTGATTATACAAATTTATAAAACTGTGAAGTGTTGTTAAGCATTCAATTATTTATATTAAATATAGTTCTAATATTTCCATTATTTATAAGTAAGGATATATCGTTAACCAATAACAATTAATCAGGAAGGTACTTTAGTTTATTTAAATATGAATGTTTAACTATGTACTTCGAAGTTTTGTCTGATTATAATATCTATTATCATATGGTCTGTCAATCAATTTTAAATGTACATATATTTTACAACAATAAAATACTAATTTCAAATCGTTGTGGTTTTTATAAATATATTTTTTGGTGTTCTATTTATTGAAATATGAACAATTATGCATTAGATTTTAGCAAATTGTTATAGTTTGTATTTCTTTTATTATGATTATTTCGTGGTCATAAAAACAATACAAAGCAATGATGCTAAAATCTAATAGATCAAAACAGTAAAAGTAATAGGTATAAATAGTATACACTCTTATACGTACACAAACATACACACGCACGCACACATAAAGAATTAGTTCGGGATCAGGGCGCTAGAGGCGCTGCTTTCAAAGAGTTGGCATAAAATTTCCAAAAGAGTGTTCTCTTTCCCCTAATATAATACTACTCTTTGACTACTACTACTATTAGATGTAATGATGTGCCGATTCGATTATAATATACTTATTATAATATCGATTGTAGTATTACTCGTAATCGATTAATAATCGATTCATGTCAAAGATTATTAAATATTTTTACCCCAAAAGTTTATTAATGATTTCAGATTAATTCCAGCGTATTTTTATGCCATCCAAGTTAATGAAAAATAGTAAAAAATCAATTTTAAGACAATGTTTACTATACGAGGATTGTGCATGCAAAATTTATAGAATTAAACTAGCTGTACCCGCGATTTTATCCGCGTGGTAAGTAGCCTTAATAATTTCTTATTACATAAGCTATCTGCCAGTGAAAGTCCCGTCAAAATTGGTCTAACCGTTTCAAAGTTTAGCTGGAATGAACAGACAGACAAAAAATGAAATAATATACGCGGGTATAGGTATGTACCGTCTATTCTTACATGTCCATTTAGTAAGAAACGGTTAATCCGTTCATCGTTCATCATTCATTCATCGGGAATTCCCCGACCAAAGAGTAAAGTTACCTATTTGTTCGTGGGAGTATTCCAGGGTTGCCATAATAAGTAATAGAATATTTACTAATAATATTCACACTCGCGATCCGCTATGGGTTGGTTGCTGAGCCATCAAAGTAAAGTAAGTAGGTACTAGAGTCTGGCAAGCGAAACGTGTCACAAGAAAAGGGCGGCAATTTCAAAAATTCTTAAGCAGTAAACACTGAATGTAGTACTGCAAAATAATTTTGATACTTTTATTAATTATATTTAATCTTAACATTTAGATATCAATTAAAATTATTTGTTTTGGAACATTTGACTAAAGCGTGACTGTTCTTAATTGTACAGTTAACAGCATATCAGTAGGCCTATTCACTAACTCAACTGACAACCAAGAATCGTCATCACCGTAAAAAATAGACACTTTGATTGTGTCAAAATCACTATTTCGTATTCTCTATCAATGATGAGCAATTTCGAAATGTCAATATCGGCATTCTCCACTGGACTCCATTTTGACACTTGATTTCGTATCGATAAACTGTATTAAAGTAACATTGTTGCAAAGCATATTTGAAGTCGTCGCATAGTACCTCTTAAGCCATTTGTTGTTAAATTAAAGCGAAAAAAAATACGTATCCAATATTTTTCTATTATCTGACTGACGGACTAAATCGAATCTTTTTTTTAACCCATTCGTTATACCTATTGGCTAACAGCACTTATAATATTAAAAATTCATATTTGTCATTAATTAAAAGGGTGTTTTTTGCAACGACTTCTTTGTTTTTTTGTAATGAATATGGGCGACTCTGGCCACATTTTTTTAATAAATGTGATGTTAGCCAATTTTGATTTCTGGCCCTTATATTTATAATGTGTTCATAACACATACATGTCTCCTAAGGGATTTTCATCACAACCTTTTGCTCTGATCCAGAACCACTATCTATCAAATTAAATTAGTCAATATAAACACCAGATTACAATAAAAAAAACATTTATTTTTGTTACAATTAAGTGCCATGGATAAATTACATAATACAGGTGTCACAAAATCATCATGTTAATCACAATAGAAAATTTAAGATAAGATTTTGACTATGAATCAGACTAAAAATACTTTAGTCTGATTCATAGTCAAAATCTGTTTCTAAATATTCTACACCTGATAACAATGACAAGGAATCATCAGAGTCACTCTCTTCACTACTGTCTGCACCAACAGATATAATAAATTTTTCAAGTTCGTTTTCAACAATGCCATCTTTTAATTTGTAATCATTTTCGACATTTAAAACATGATCAGTGTATTTCTTCCAGTCACTAGGGGTAATTAAGTTAAAACACTCTATTATTAAGTTTTCCATTTCCTTTCCTGGTATTCCAATGTTTCTGCTTGCAATTTTTCTTTTTGCTTGACTCCAAACCATCTCTATTGGGTTTAAGTCACAATGATACGGTGGCAGCAATAAAAGTTCATGATTATGTTCTTTTAAAATCTCTTCAGCTTCATATACAGGCAATGTTTTCTTATCATTAACCAAACACATTAACTCTGCCTTTGTCTGATATTCCTCAAAATGTATTCCATTATTTACAAGCCATTTACGGATATCTGCTTTGGTATTAGACATTATAGGCGGTTTATTGATTTGTTTTATATGGTAGCTGGCATTATCCATAACAATTACACTGGGCTTACTTAAATTTGGTATTAATTTTTCTCTGACCCATTTCATAAAGTTCGATGAGTTCATATCATCATGATAATCAGCAGATTTGGATTTACTACTGAACACTAATAATGCACCAGGCACAAAACCTTCCTCAGATCCAGCATGCACAACAATATGCCGTTTTCCAGAGGATATCTTTGTAGTGACACCAGTTGTTGAAGGTCCTTGCCAAGACTTTTTAACTTTATAATTCTGATGTACATAAGTTTCATCAAGGTACACAATTTGCTTTCCTTCGTTTCGTTTTATATTTATTTCTCTCAAATACTTGTGCCTCCATGCAGAAATCTGGTATTTTTCTATAAGCATAGAACGTTCATTTTCATTGCTTTTAAAAGAAAATCCATTCTTAAGCATAATTTTTCGTAAAGTCTCACGGCTACCACTGAATCCTATTGCATCTTTTAATTCATTGTGAAGGCTTCTTAATGTTGGAACAATTTTTTTCACACAGTAAAATTCATTTACTTTATTCCGAATTGCACTTAAATCAAAATTATCTAAAGCAGACACTGTTGGTTGATGAGGTCGTTTTTTCCCAGGAGTGTCCCATTTTCCTTTATTAATTAATGCTTCATTTTTTATCCTTCTTAGTGTCCTTATACTTACATCTATAAAAGATTAAACACTTTGAAACAAAGATATGTTAAATGTATTTAAAAGCAAATAATGATAGACACATACATCAAAATAATTTAAATACCTATTCAACTATGAATGCAATTTATGTTTAATTTAGTTAAGTTTATGTGCATATTTAGCATGTATAACAATTACATGGTTTGATTAGTTTCATGAATTCTGTGAATTTCCTTGTTAAACAAAACATTCTTATGACATCATTGGATGTCAACAATAAAAACCAATACATCATAAAAAACCTATGTAAATATTATAGGAATACTATCAATCTATCTTAAATCAAAACAAGAAAAGAGACCTGTCATTGAAGAAATTTTTTGTAAGTACTGCGTTTCCGAATTCAGCATTTCTTGTTTTTCTAAAGTTTTTATTGCATTTATCTCCTCCATTATTGGTTGAATATCACCATCACAGTTATCTGAAATAGAGCAATATTTTATAAAAAATATCTGTTTAGTTAATTACAGAAAATTAAAACGAAAGTATCAAAATTATAATACAAAACTAACCTAAAAAAGATACAACTTTATCTAATCGTTGTAATTTCTCCATGAAATTTTTATTTAATTCAGTTTTCACTTCAGTAAACTTGTCAATCATGATGGAAAGAAGTTTCCTCGATGAACTTTTTATCGGCTTCGACATAATTTTTAACCAAAAACACAAGTTCAAATTCGCAAAAACAACAAAATTCAATATTCTTGAATTGTCTAACGTAGTGTCAAACTGACAGTTCTATGTTGTTGCCATATGAAAACGGAAAAATAGGTGGTGTCACGTTTCGCTTGCCAAACTCTATACTAACGTTTTAAACTATTCCTATTGCTATCGTTTTAAGAAATAATAGATTGTTAATCGTCTATTAGGAAATCATAATCGATAGCGACTGATTATTTGAAAAATCTATTGTAATCGATTCCGCACACCATTAAATGTAAAATCCACAATTCCACAGGTGGATGTTGGCAAAATTTCCGTGTATAACGGAACAAGTCCATATAAAAAAAAAAAACTTTTAAACGCCATGTTTGTTTACTACTACAAATTTTATGAGAAAAATCGTTGATAGTTTTTTTTTAATAAAATAACCCAACCCAACTCGGATACGTTCGTTTATTTAGTTTTTTTTTTGTAAAATATGGCTGACGGGGTCCAAATTTTAAGACGAAACTGCCCTGGATCCAAAGCAAAGGCAAGCATATTTCAGTTTTCCAAATAATGGTTTCAAAGCAGCACTACTTACTATTAACAAACCTTTTTTTATGTAGGATTTCTGTAGATGGCCAGATGAACCTTTCGAGTTAATGGATGGTACCTTGGCCGTACCTCAGTATATACAACAAACTATTCGTCGAGATCCTTCTGATCTTGAAGCAATTCTTAAAAAACCAGAAGCTCAAGAAGAAGGAGTGTGGAAATATGAGCATTTGAGGTATTGTTGATATGTTTATTTTCAATGATTTTATATTGTGATTAACATTTTATAATTAAGTAGGCAGTGGTGGATTCGGCCTATAAAAACTGCTGTCAATAATACCGTCAAATATTGTGTATCAAAAGCTGAGTAATGAAATGGTCTGTCATCACTTGATTATCACATACTAAGGACTAATTCATAAATATTGAACAGAAATAGAAGCGGGAATAAAGCAAATATTAATTCATATAAAGTTCAAAGTATTTTAATTGATTAACAACAATTACAATTACATAGATGTTTATTTTGTCAGATGTAATGTAATCCTATTGTGGGAATGTCTTCTACACAAAAATAATAATATACCGACAGATGTTTAAAAATAATAATACAAACAAAACTGAGTTTTTTAATCTATTTCAATAAATGTTGTCAAGAAAGTAAATTCATTATTTTTGACAACAACAAAAGGGACAGCTACTATTACATAGCCTAGGGAGTTTGTTAATAGCAGGGTTCAGAGTGATACTTATCATTAATAAATTATCATGATAATTACCTTGATAAATATACCATGATAATTATAAACTACTACACAAACCCTTTTTGTACTTAGGACTTGTTATTAAAGGGAATCAGATTTAAACAACTATCAAATATGGTTTTTCTGACAGAGAAAATTGTCTAGGATGGACTTACAAAAACAAAAAATATATATATTAAAAACCCCCTTTTTTAAATATTTATTTACTTCTATTTTTGTTCAATGCTATTTAAAAATTGTTGCCAGTAATTATCGATTATTATTAGATATTTATCGGATAGTTATCCAGAAACAATTTATAATTAGGAACCTGGTAAATAGATGCATATATATATATTTTTCATCTAGACAATTCTGTATGGAGCTTAATGGGTTGGCTGTGAGGCTGCAAACCGAGTGCAAACCTGAAACTTGTACTCAGATGACAGCTACAGAGCAGTGGATATTTTTGTGTGCTGCCCACAAAACACCCAAAGAATGTCCAGCAATTGACTACACCAGGCATACACTAGATGGTGCTGCTTGTTTGCTCAACAGTAATAAATACTTTCCAAGCAGGTAAATAAAATGCAATTCATCTATTTGATTTTCTTTCTGCAACACTTTATTATGAGAATTCTTTTTATCATTTGTAGTTTTAGTATACATCAATCAAGTGTGACTTGTTTGTTTCAGGGTTAATATAAAGGAATCTTCTGTAACTAAATTGGGCTCTGTATGTAGGAGAGTATACCGAATATTCTCCCATGCATACTTCCATCACCGATCAATATTTGATGCATTTGAAAAAGAAACTCATTTATGCAAGAGGTTTACATATTTTGTGACAAAATATTCTATAATTCCTAAAGAAATTTTAATATTACCTAAACTTGATGATGAGATTCTTACGTCACAACCTGTAGGGGAATCTGAAGCTTGAATTCAAATTATAATGTTAGTTATTATTATTCTGTATTAATGTGTGTGACATGTAAGCAATTTACATATTTAATTAGTTCTAATCTGTAATAAAGCTTTTATTAAATAATTACAATTGTTTATAAATACACTATGCATAATGCAGTGAAATGACCATATAATACACACAAGCTTTTGCAGGACTGATAAGGTTCATACACTGAGGCCTGTGTCCCAGTAGTCGGAACATTAGTAGGCTGGTGATGATGATGACTTTTTATTCTGAATAAAAGAAGAAGATAATTTAACAAAATATTTAATTTGTAAAATATTCCTTTGATTTGGTGTGGATATCTATGGTAACAGTTTTGATTAATCAGATGTAACAATGTTTAATAAACTCTTATGATTATAAATATATTTTTGAGTTTTCCTTTTTTTACAATAATAATTCGGAAATCCGTTTTATTTTTAAATATTATTTATGAATGAGCCTTACATATTGCCAATAGGGAAATCTACTAAATAAAGTGGAAACATATATGGCCTTATGTCAAGTACATAGTGTTGCTGTAGCATGTATTACATTAGTTTTACACATGATAACGTATCAACCTCGATCACAGGTATATAGATGGAAAACATTTTAAAATGACAAATTACCTTGAACATTTGAGACAAAATGTTTTTGATGAATTTGCCTGCTTTCCATACTTCTCGATCTCTTAAAGCCGAATTTATGTTGCATTATTAGTGGATTATATTAGTTTTATTCATTGCATTTATTTCACTAGTGATTTACATGTCAAGACGGAACTGTTGCTTCAGTGTTGATTTCACGCCATTACGAGAACAGTGTCACCTGTGCTGAAATTAGTTTCCTCAAAGTAAATTCGACTTTAACTACGTAGTTCCTACCGTAACCTGGGTAAACCCATGCTCCTAGCAAATCATAATCTAACATTCTCAAAACGCCCCGAAGGTTCTCGCTTATAAACTAATATGATAAACATAATAAAATTTTCTAGTATAACAAAGTCGCTGTCTGTATGCTGAGATCTTTTAAACTACACAGGATTCATATGGAAGGTTTATATGTATGATAGATACAGCACCACACGGGCGACGGATACAGGGACTCTATGCCACTTGTCATGAATTTGAAATTCAGTGCAGAAAAATTCAATAAGTGAATCATTATCAATCATGAAATTAATTGCGCAGGAAGAAGGCATGGTGAACTATGTGTCATAGAGACAATAGCTACAATCATCATTGCAAATCTAGGATACTATTTTTACATTATACAATAAACATATAGTTGATGCATTCAGCACTGTCACATTAGGCAATTACCTACCACTTGAGTTCAATATCAGTTTGTAAAAATACTAGTCACATTTGAGCAGTTTGCTCAAAGGAGTTCAGTTTCTTGATTGTACTAATGACATTGTTAAAATGCAATGTAGACACCATTTGTGATAACTACACCTATATATTTGGAGTATTAAAATCCTTTCAAATTTTGACATAAGTTTTTTCATCTATTTCAATTATATCTTGTCTGTCCTCTCTTTCTTTCCAATGTAAGTAGAGGACAAGTCCTGTTATAACAATAACAATTGCAGTAAGTACAAATACACTTTTAAGAATCACTTTACTAGGAGTTACAAATAACTGTGCTCTCCACTGTGAGGCATCATTTGGAGGTGCTGGTATAACTACTATTTGAGAATTGGGAATTATCTGAGTCCAGCTTTTAGAATGACCTGAGAGACCAACATTTAAAGTATCTACAAAGTTAGGTGTGTGATCTAGACCAAATATTGAGTATGGTAATTGGAGAGCAAAGTATGCAGACTGAGGCAGCTGTGCACAGACTCCTGTTCTATAGTTTCCTTCCTGTGACCAAGTATTATATCCAATTTTTGGTCCTGGCAAATTGGTACCTGCAATTAAGCAAAAAATATTAATGTCATTAACATAAATAAAACAATTATTAAATGGTTACATAGCATTTGTATTGAGACTTTACAGGTTCCATGTACACATAGGACTCAGGTGTTGATTGTTTTTTAGGATACCTGTAAAGGATCTGAATGTCTATAAACTAAAAATACAAACCCAATGAAACTGTTTCAAAGTTATTTCATTAATGGACAGTTCGCATGAAAATATAAGAAATCAATAATGTCATCAGTACATAAAATATGCAGAAAAGTTTTTAAATAAACTTACCAAATGTGCCCTTACGTTTATATAGAGTACCATTAATAGTTGGAGTTTTTTCATTTGTTAAACCAGTCACAACCATTACTTTCATAAAATTTGTATCATATTCCAACTCATTCCTGAATGCATGCATATTATATTTTTGTGTTGTGGTATTCTTTGTAACATAAATAATGTCAAGTACACCATCCATATAAAAATCATAAAATGTGGCCATCACAACATTTTTACCAAAAGAATTAAATATGTCCCACTGAACTTGAAATGTTCTTGAGAATTTGCAGCCTGTGGTAGAACATGGTATGTTATGAAATAAGAATACTTTTGTTACATCACTATTTGTGGGACTTAAAATCATTAATATGTCTGGATATCCATCCATGTTGTAATCACCACTGCGCATAGTAATAGCATCCAGATAAACCTCATTTCTAGGAGGTGCAAACCTCCATAGAGTCCCTTTTCCATCATTAAGGTCAATTTGTAACTCATGCCATTGCTGATTATCATAAATTAATATTGTACTATTAAAGCATTCAGTATCAGAGCATACAGGTATCATTAAAAAGAATTGTCCAGAAAGTGCTACATCAATAAATAAAGCCTGTCCATATATAGCTTCGTGTCCCACAAGTAACTCAATACTATTATTATATTTAAAGCCATTGTTTTCTTCACTAAGCCAAACTTCTACATCCACTTTGGTGGTTACTAATAAATCTGCAGCATTGTCTTCATTGACATCTAAAAATGAATGAGAATGAGGGAGTTTTATTTCTTTGACAGGTCCTTCTCCCATTACAATCTCACTAGGGGTACCTCTTGTTTTATCAAATACCCAATAAACTCTTTCTCTTTGGGAATTAATGCCAAATAAATCTAAAGTCATGTCTCGATTGTAATCCATTACCAGTGGTTGTCCATAAGTAATAACTTTGACAAAGAGTGCATCTGAGCAGTTCAACAATGATCCGCCCCATAATATCCTTACTTCATGAATACTGGAACTTTCATTTAGATTTTGCGTGGTCAAAAGGATATCCATGTAAGCATCTCCATCAAAGTCACCTGGCACAACACTTGTAATAATAAAATTACTAAAATTACATGCATATGCTGAGGGTCTCAGGAAGGGTTCCTTATCGTGTGCGAGCAAAACTGTTAAGCTTGTTTGATTGAATATAACAAAGACATCTGTTAGTTCATCAGAGTTGAAATCTCCAAAAGCAGCTAATATACCTTCAGTGTACTTTCCAAATGAACTTTCAGTCATATCATTTACTGTCGAAATAGAACTTAAGTTCGTAATAATTAAAATAACAATAATTAGTTGAAAAGACATGTTCTATTTATTTAAATTTCAATGGTTTATTTACCATTATTTACGCGTCAAACTCAGTAGTAGTAGTAAACTTCGTCCGCTAAGGACAGGCGAAGGCGATTGAGCCATACTGCCAGATCTTCCGTGTTTATTTCTTTTCTTTTATTTTATGTACGCATCAAGTCTGTAATATTGGTTAAATTTCTCCAACAGTAGAATTAATAAAATTATAAACAGGAATGAAGTTTTCTGGGTGTGATAGAATTTCTTGAAGAGAGGGCGGGATGGTCTTGGAAGTGTCTAAAAAGCATCGCGTCAAACCATAGACATAAAAGAAGAGGACCGGCCATACCTACGAAAAAAGCGTATATACCTAAACTTCAAATGCAAATTCTTCGATGGCGGATTGTCATAGGGCGTGACCCAAGATATCGATATTTGTATCGACATTGAAGTCATATTAAATAAAAGTTAGTATTTCGTGAAACTGCTACAATACTACTACTAATTAAATAATATAATATAATTTTCATTGTTAGGGGCATGGCTAAACTATTACCTATTACACTTCTATTCATTTCACACTTACGTACCAATCCTATTTATGATTATTATTTATTAAATTGAAAAATTTACGCCAGTATCAAGAAAATAATATTTTTTTAAAAGTGGCGTGAATTTATCAATTATTTATAAATCATTAAGCAATCTTTTGCTCGTATTTTGTTGGGCATCTAAAATTTCTTGCGTTCTTTGTTCTTGCGACTCCGTTGCGTCACTATAGTAAATATAACATATGTTACCAGCGTATGATGGCGCTTCCCACGGGTAAAAGATTATTCGTATTCCAAATTTCATCAAAATCCGTTCAGTAGTTTTTACATGAGAGTAACCAACATCCATTCTCACAAACTTTCACATTTATATTATTTAATAATATAATTTTATAATATGATTGTACCTCGATAAATATGTTTCTTTTTCCTCTAATATAGCCAATTTTACATAGTTTTAAGAACTATAGTACCAAAATATATATCTTAAAAGTTTTACAATAATATCAATCGTGTTTTATAATTATTTCCATATATATTGTAAAGTTGATATTTTGCAACTATAATTAAATAGTTTTTTTTTAACATAAGTTTAATTTTGCATCCACGGGAAGTGTGACCACTGTCCAAGATAACTGCCACGGTAACTATAATAAGCTAAATGAGTCGATTGACGAATGAATTTTTTTTTTTTTTGTCTGTTATATATTTTTTATTGTTATAGTGGAAAGTGACATTTTGGTCCAATGAAGCCATTTTTTATCTTTCAGTACGAAATTAAACAGGGTGCAAAAGCAGCACTTGCAGTTTATTACCGGTTCCCCTTCTTCTTTTCTCGGTACAAGGTTTCCCGTAATAGATTGCTGAACTATAAGCACAGAGTTTCGACTTTCTTATATGCTTGTAACTAGTAAGCCAACTTGTCTATAAATTTATTCAATAAATTGTTTTGACTGAATAAATTTCGCTTCCTCCTCATTAAGTGAGATACCGTGCGTACTGTGTCACAATTTTAGTTCAGAACATCTTGTTTAGTAGTAAACATAGAAAACTTGAAACACCTACATAATCTTTGTATCATATTATTGGTAAAAGAACATAAAAATACTGTAAACTTTGATGAATAAACAAGACAAAATAAAGAAAACAAAGTTAGTGATGAATAAGTTACAATTGGCATAACAGTAACATTATTAAAGAAGTAACAATTGGCATTTTATTTAAAAATTTGGTTAGCAAGAAGAAAACAGCCGATTAATCAATAGGCAAGCATACAAATATTTCCTCAGCACTAAAACAGTCTGCAATTCATGTTCTGTGAAAAATTATGATAACGGTCAGCAATTTAAATTCAAAAAGGTAGCGTATTTTATGATGCATCAGCAAAATAAACATCCACGCCGCAAAATAATTATTTGGGTATTAAGATTATACTATTGAACAGCAAAGAAAACCTTTAACTATGCCTTTAATTTGATAAGTGTGCATATTTTAATTTTTATTAAAATTATTTAACTCATTTTATTGTATATTTTACTGGGAGTATATTATGATCAGAATTTTATATTTTAATATTATTATATATTGCATTCTGATTTTTTTCAATTAAAATAGTCGTCATATGACCGCCAGACTAAAAATAAGGTACATTTATAGAATAACAAAATGACTATATAAAAAACTAAATAAATAAATCAGTAAAATCAAATGAAAATTAACTAAGTGTAATAGACATTTTTTTTTTAAATAAGTTAAAAGCAATTGTCAAAAATTCTTACCAGAGTATTTGATTGGCAATGCATCATCTCGTAATATTATTATATTTAAAGTTCGATTCAAACAACTTTCCCTAAAATGAAGTGAGCAGATAAAAGTAACTTTTTCATTACATTTAATATTTTCTGCTTCTATGTAACTCGGCCATTTTCCTCTTTTGTTTCATCTTTTGGTAATCTAAAATAATTAATATATTTTTAAATATTAAAATTATCGATATAAACCATATGTTAAAGTAACGACACTAGCCATGTAAACAATATTATTTACGGACCGAAATATTATAAAAATATAAACGAAAAGAGCAATATAGCATAAATAGAACACGCCAAAATACGATATGTATCGATTTATACACGCAATCATTTTCAGAATAACTTACTTACGTTTTAAATACTGTTATTCCAAGAAAGTCTTTAACTTACCGGTGAAACGTAATATTGCTCGGTTTGCGGGATATTGATGACGCACAACCAATTATACAGCACCTAGGCATTGTTTTGCATAAATAATTTACAATTTTCTGCCATGAAAGTTATATAAATTAAAGTTATAAATGAAAATAACCACAAAACTTATAACACTGACAGCTGAACTACTTCCGAGAATACGCAAAGCAAATTTGCAAATGGCTGACAGGTGGTACGATAGCTATATCTCATGACGTCACGTAAAAAATTTTGAACTGTCACACTAGTGTTATCTTTGTTTACTAAAGAAACTTCTTATTAGTTAAAAAAGGACAACATGATGTTTTTGATGTCAACTTCAGATTGCATGATATTTATATAACCATAGAAAATATTTCCACTCTACCTTACTCTATGCGTCAAACTCAACGAATAACTTGTCAATGTCAATCACATTATTTTTTTAAATATTTTAGGCTTGGATGCAAAATTCTTTAAGCCAAAATTTGGTTTGCACTGTCTTCGAATTTATTAGTTTTTAGTTTTTCAGTGAAAGATTTTATATACTTGTTTATAAGCACAAAATATTCAGATTCTAAGTGGCGGGGGACATTATGCTTTCGTACCATTCGCCTTTCATTTCTTGATTTTTCTTCCAGTACTTTTTCCATATAAAGTGCATTTCCTTTATTATTTCAGAATAGGAATCAATAAAGGGTAAAGAGTTTATCACTTGACTTGCAGTCTTGTCAGCTACTTCATTGCCTGATATGCCTTTATGCGAGGGAATCCATATAAAGGAAACTGTAATACCTTTTGAAGTAACTTGTATACAAGTTCTTTTATGTGAAGCAATATAATTAGTCTTAAAATGTAGAGTATGGTTATTTAAACTTTTAATTACAAATTCTTAAAGTTATGGTACAGAATAAATATGCTTTAGTACCTCAAATGGGGCATAAATATGTTACAAGCATTATTAAGAACAAAGCTTTGACAAAATTTTATTTGAGAGCCTCGTTTGTTGCTGAACACAATCTACCATTCACTATTATGGAGCACCTACTGAAGCAAGCCGTTTGTCCTGATTAAAAAATAGAAAAAGAAATAAAATGCTCTTCGACCAAAACTCATGACATTGATCATATTCTAGGTAAAGAAAGTTTCAATAATTTATGTGAAGATCTAAAGCAAACTAAGTTTTCGTTTATTATTGACGAGTCCACTGATCTTAGTACAACCAAACACTTGTGCTTAGTCGTGAGATATGCGAAAATGAATCGTATTAAAGATTGTTTTTTTAGCTCTTATTCCATTAAGCTAATCCTTATTTGAACACATTGTAAACTTTGAACACATTGTAAACTTGAAGCAATGATATTCCATATAAAAATAATCTAATAGGTTTTGCATCTGATGGGGCAAATGTAATGATGGGTAATATAATTCTGTTGTAACATTGCTGTAAAATTTTATTCCCAACATTTTATAATTAAGTGCGCCTGCCATTCGTTTTATCTTTGCGCGTCATATGCTTGTACCAAATTCCCACGCTTTATAGAGGATTTTGTAAGAGACATTTACAACTACTTTTCTTCTAGCCCAAAGAGTGGCAGAGTTTGAAAGTCGAAAACTTTGCCAATGGTTCGCAAAACTAAGGCTCTTTGGCAACTCTGATCGGGTCGTAGGCTTGCTTGTCGTTGGTTAGAAAAACTCCGTAGAAGGTGGAAGGATGGAATGTTTTATTTACTTTTTTTTTTTTTTTTTTTTCGGTTCTCAACCTTATGGGCTCGGAACCACCTTCCCATAAACGTAGGAAGGAGGCGGTGAATCCTTCATTGGATACCAACACAGCCGGCTGTGAGGGTTATGTCAGACTCTTACTGACTAAACACCGCCTTGGACTACTGGTTACATACCCGGAGGCAACGAACCTTCATCGGAGCGACCGCCCCCCCTCAAGGGGGGGGGCGGCGCAGACGTCCCTAAACACTTACATGAATAGTGACGTCGAGATGTTAGCTGTTAACCCCGTGGGGGGCTCGGCACATCGGATTTAGGTACGTACAGCTGACTCCCTGAAGGGGAACGATCAGCCGGATCGGACGGGGGTGTGACCTGAAGGGTCGGCGTGTGGAGGGCAGGGAGGGGAGCATCGCATACCACCAGAGGGGTGCTAATTGATACCCGTAACAATTTGTGTGGCCTGCATCCTGAAGGGATGTCAGGTCGAGAGGGCAGAGAGGGTTGACCTGAAGGGTCAGTATGATGGGGTGTGGAAGGTTTGGGGGACCTAACATGTTAGTGCTTATGAT